TCCCGGCCTCTCCTGGGCGCCCGGCGTGGTCCCCGCGCCTGTTTAGGGCTGTTTAGGGCTGGATGGTTTTTTTAATTCCTTCCTTTCTCTCCCCTTCTCCCCCTTCCCCTCTTTTTTTTTTTTTTAATAATTTTTTTTTTTGAGCCAACAAAAGTTCCGTTTTGCCAACGTCAGTTTTTCCACGTTGGTTTTGAATAGATGAAGGCTTCCTCGAGTGTCGTCTCTTCCACCCAGGGGGTTTAGATGGGAGTTTTTGAACTCTGTCCTAGAGAAGGCAAATTGAAATCCCCCGAGGAGGGTGCTAGACATGCTAGCAAAGGGAGCTGCTCTCCTTCCCCCCAACTTTATTTCATCTCTCTCTTTCTCAGCAGGGGCAATTTTCTTTCCTTTTTTATTTTCTCTGTTTTATCATCCCTTCGCCTTTTCATGAGACACTTCCACACCTACGTACCTGTCCTTCTGCAGGATAGTAGCCTTGCCCTGAATCCGATCCCACCACCGGGCACTCGGAAGAGTTTAGCCTAAGGATTTCTTTTAAACCTAAATATGACAGTTGCTACCGGAGATCCTGCAGACGAAGCTGCAGCTCTTCCCGGTCACCCGCAGGACACGTACAACCCCGAGACCGACCATGAATGCTGCGAGAGGGTGGTCATTAACATTTCGGGTCTGCGCTTTGAGACACAGCTCAAGACGCTAGCCCAGTTTCCAGAGACCTTGCTAGGGGATCCTAAAAAGAGAATGAGATATTTTGACCCGCTCCGGAACGAGTATTTCTTTGACCGGAACAGGCCCAGCTTCGATGCTATTTTATACTACTACCAGTCTGGTGGGAGGTTGAGGAGGCCTGTTAACGTGCCCTTAGACATCTTCTCGGAAGAGATTCGGTTTTACGAACTGGGGGAAGAAGCAATGGAGATGTTCCGGGAGGATGAAGGCTACATCAAAGAAGAGGAAAGACCGTTGCCTGAGAATGAGTTTCAGAGACAAGTGTGGTTGCTCTTCGAGTATCCCGAAAGCTCGGGCCCTGCCAGGATTATAGCTATCGTCTCTGTCATGGTGATTTTAATCTCCATCGTGAGCTTCTGCCTGGAAACATTGCCCATTTTTCGGGATGAGAACGAAGACATGCACGGCAGCGGGCTGAGCCATCCGCCCTACTCCAACAGCAGCATGGGGTACCAGCAGTCAACCTCTTTCACAGACCCCTTCTTCATCGTAGAGACACTTTGCATCATTTGGTTCTCCTTCGAGTTCTTGGTGAGGTTTTTTGCCTGCCCCAGCAAGGCTGGGTTTTTTACCAATATCATGAACATTATCGACATTGTAGCCATCATTCCCTATTTCATCACCTTAGGGACGGAGCTGGCTGAGAAGCCGGAGGATGGTCAGCAAGGCCAGCAAGCCATGTCCCTGGCCATCCTCCGAGTTATCCGCCTGGTGCGGGTCTTCAGGATCTTCAAGCTCTCCCGGCACTCCAAGGGGCTGCAGATCCTGGGGCAGACTCTGAAGGCCAGCATGCGGGAGCTGGGCCTCTTGATATTTTTCCTCTTCATCGGCGTCATCCTCTTCTCCAGCGCCGTCTACTTTGCAGAGGCAGACGAGAGCGAGTCCCAGTTCCCCAGCATCCCCGACGCCTTCTGGTGGGCCGTGGTTTCCATGACGACCGTGGGCTACGGAGACATGGTCCCCACGACCATCGGTGGGAAAATAGTGGGATCCTTGTGTGCCATCGCTGGCGTATTAACGATTGCCTTACCAGTGCCCGTCATAGTGTCCAACTTCAACTACTTCTACCACCGGGAGACAGAGGGAGAGGAGCAGGCTCAATATTTGCAAGTAACCAGCTGCCCAAAGATCCCTTCTTCCCCTGACCTAAAGAAAAGCAGAAGTGCCTCTACCATTAGTAAGTCCGATTATATGGAGATTCAGGAAGGTGTAAACAATAGCAATGAGGATTTCAGGGAGGAGAACCTGAAGACAGCCAATTGCACCCTAGCTAACACAAACTATGTTAATATCACCAAAATGCTAACCGATGTCTAGTCGCTAAAACCTAGTAACGCATTTAAAGCTGAAGTGGAACAGTTGCAGATATTGAGTGCTGCTCTGCATTGTAGTCAATACAGTATTTTCTACGGTGTATATTTGGTTCTGCATGGGAAGCAATAGCCGTGTAAGTGACTTTTAACCTTTGATTTCCACACTGAATAAGCTGTCATGCCCCAACCGTTTCGTTTCTCTGCTCCCATCACAGGCTTGCGGGTTTCCAAAGATACGGGGCGTTTAAAGCGATTGCGGGCACCATTCGTGTCATTGCGACCGCAGGGAGCCGGCCGGGGACGGGGGGGAAGCTCCCGCGCCCCAGCACGTGCCGAGCGGCCCCGTGAGGTCTCCCTGCAGCGCGCACCCGCCAAGCCGTGTCCCGAGGAGAGGGTAGGCACGCAGCTGCCGAGCTTAGGGAGCGCTTAGGGAAAGGTCAGGCAGGGCTTAGCCGGGGGAACGTGCATCCGTGTGGCCAAAGGGCTTGCAGGCTCGCCTTCCGCCTCAGGTGAGACCACATCGCCCGGGCTCGTGTTTCATAACGGAAAATGCTGCATGCTGCAATAGTTTCCTCCACTGCAGTATGCCAGCGTGAGGCCCCGGGGAGGCATAATTAGTATGACAGAACATTATTTATTAAGTCTTAAATTTTCGATGCTAGCCGTCGGGAGGGCCAAGTAAATAAATCAAGAGCTTGGGTTTTATTTATTTATTTATTTAGATGACACTTCCATCACCACTATTTCCAGGATCACCAAAGACACCTCCACTGACACATTGAAAATGAGTTGGAAAAAAAGCATCTTTTTTTTTCTATATCTCAATATAAAACTGGAGCAACTATGCTGTGGCCTATAATATATTTATACTGCAGTGAAATTTAACCAGTAATACAGTACAGCTGCATGGGTATTTGTTGCATGAATCTGAATATTTAATACACACACAAATATATATTTTCTTAGTAGACTATACAGTATTCATGTTTATAGTGTTTATAGATTCTCCAGTGGCTTGACGGAGATTCACGGAAGTAAAAAAAAAAAATATCTCTATTTAAAAACCGGATTCGGGGAAGGCACGGGCTGACTACGGTTTGCTAGATAACAAGGCAAAGCCTGCGTGTCCGAGCGTTCGGGACCGAGCGATGCAAGTTGAAGGAAGGTGAGCTGAAAGTTAAACACCTGTGCTCATCATGGGGCGAGTAATTAGTCATTAATCTCGGTGTCACGAGCAGAAATTCCCGCTGAGCGGAGAAGCTGCGGAGGCCAGGTGGGAGAGCAGGGAGAGGCGCCCCGACTTGGTTGTTCAGCAGTCTTCAGCCGTTTCCCCCTGCAATTATCACGCGTGTAGGTGTGTGTGTATAGATATTTAGAGAGCGACTAGAGGCCGAATCCTCAGCAAACACGGACGCTCGGCGCTTCGGGGGTTTCCCCAGTTGCTGCGGCGAGCCCCGGCGCCGCGGGATGGCCGGGGCACAGGGCGTTTGGGGCTGGAAAACTCTGCCCGAGCCTGAGCAGCGCGGTGGGAGAGGGTCCACGTAGTCATGGGGGTCCTTCCCCCGGTTACGTTGCTCGCCCGCGGACCCCGACCCGCAGCCTCGGGGGCTGCTGGCAGTGCGGGAAAGCGGCACCAGGCCAGCGAGTGAGGTACGGGGAGGGGGGTCGCTCCCTTATGCCGGAGGCTGAGCTCCATCTCGGCTCAGCTCTCCCAGCCTTGGCTTTTACTTCGCCTTCTCCCAAGGTTTTCGGGAGGGCTCAGCTGGGACGGTCCGTGCTCCTCCTTCAGTCCTGGCGCTGTCAGGGATAGCCGGGGGTTGCACCTTCCGGTGGAGCGCATTTGCTTTCCCCATCCCGCTCTGCGTTCCCTTGTGCTTTCCCCCGTCGGGGACGCTCCCCGGAAGAGGTGCCTCCGTCTCTGCCCAGGCCGGAGGAGAGGGATGCAAACCTCCTGGGAGGCCCCCGTCCAGCAAAGCATCTCCGGGCGTCCCTGAGGTGAGGCAGGCGGTTTAGCCACCCGTCGAGTTGGGGCCGTAGGCTTTGGCTGGATTCGGGGCTGGCCAGTCCTGTGCCGCTGCTGTGGAGCCAGGGCATCCCATTGCAGAGCGTGCAAGTGAGGTCAGTCTGAGCCTTCTGGCTCTTTAAGAGAAGAACAATAACAATAAAACAACGGTGCTAGCGTATTCTACAGCAATGGTTCAAAATGCTGCTTTGGGCCTGATTCATCTGTCATGCTGATGTGGCTCCACTCATCCGAGGGGAATCGCTCCTGATTTTTAGCGATTGATTGATTCAGGCCTGGCTATAATTATTACCAAGTGGCCATGGTTAGTGCACAAGAGTCCTGGCTTCTGCGTGGTGCAGAGCACCATCGGCATCAATGCACCGCACTGGGCCTGGAAGGTGCTCAGCACCACGGAGCACGGGGCCCCCAAGGTGTCTCGAGTTGTCTTTCGTTGTATTAGGAATCCTTTTCTCCCTCTCCGCTGATGCAGCTCTGAAACGGGTGTCCCTAAAGCCCAAATCACTTTTAATACCTTAAAAAAGTACTATAGGAAAAAAAATAAACCCGAAACCAATAATGCAATAGCAAGCAATAAATCTCTATTTCAAAGCTCATCCTGGAGAACGGTACAGGGCTGGCGCAAAGCGGCGTCTCAGGCACGGTTCCCAGGGAGGTCAGCCGGCCTCCGTTGACCCATCCCGAAGCTGGACCATGCAGGGAGGTGAGCTCGCGAGGGGCCTCGGCCCGTGTTTCGGGGCTGCTCGCTTCCCTGCAGCCCTGCTGCTCGCTGCCGGGGATTTCCCGGGCCGGGCCGGCCAACGGCACACTGCCAGCCTGTTCGTGGCATGCACCAAAGGCCAAAGCCAGATTGCAACAGGCTTTTCCGGTGGATGCTGGCACTTAATGCGACTTTGCAAAGCTCTTCGCTGGTTAACTCCCACGGGCTTCGAACAATTCACCTCTTGGCATCTCCAGCCCTGGAAGATCTGGCCCTGGCCATGTTTCAGCCAGAGCCTGCAGCAAGTGAGGTGCAGTGAGGTGGTGGGAAGCATTTCCCAAAATACCGAGAGTGTCTCAGGAAAGAGAGAGTGTCTGGTTCTCAGGAAGGTGGAAGAGTTCAGGAGAGGCCGTGTTGCAGGGTTTTCCAGTAGGATGGAGGCACCTGTGGCCCCGTTGGCACCTGGTAGCCCCAAGGACTTCTCAAGGTCGTGCAAGAGGGGAGCACAGTTGCATGTTTCGGCTCAGATGGACCCAAACCATGCGCCAAGCCGGTGTGCTCTGAGCGGCAGGAGCGAGCCAGGACCGGTGTCCCCCACTGAAGAGCCTGGACTCATGTGAGGGTCATGAGGGGCTGTGGTCAGAAACAAGCTGTCAAGTCACAAAAAGCAGAAGGGTCTAGATCTCTTCCCCGCGCGGAGAAATGATTCCCCTATAGCTTTTAATGGGATTTGTGCCTGCAGGTCGGAGCTCGAGTGCTATTTCTAGCTTTGCTTCTGACTCATTGATGTGATCTTGAACCAGTTTTCAGGAGGAGACTGTGATTTTTTTCATTCTTTCTTTCTTTCTTTTTTTTTTTTCCTTGAGGAATTTGGTTTGAGAGGCTTGGGGCCTGCTTCTGCAGCGATACTGAGCATCCAAAACTCCCCTTGACTTTGCAAGGACGCGAAAATGAGATGCAAAGTAGCACTGAACGTAGTGGTTCAGACTGGCCAAAATAGGGGCTGGATGGGAGATACCATCTGCACTAGGCTCATAAGGCATAAGGCCACCTAGACGAGGTGCTGGCATCTTCTTTCCTCCTCCCTTGGAGATACTCACCTCTCTCCCTAGATGATATGGAAAATTACAACTTTCTGGTCCTCCCAGATACCATGGTTAGGTATCCAGAGGAGACAGCACCCATATTTTAAGAGTTTGATGCCTTCTACCATGGCCATGGTCCTGGAGAGCTGCAATTACAGCACGGGTCCCTTTCTAACATCCAACCACATGGCCAAGCTTGCAGGCAACCCATCAGCCCATTAATAGCCTCCAAACTAGCTACTAAGGGCGGTCAGGTGAGGCTCATATACCGGCTGGACACTGTCAAGCGAGTAGGAAAAAATCATCTGTATAGGGAGATGTGCTCTGTTGGGAACACTGATCCCTGCAGCAGCGTTTTGTGCTGAAGTCCGACAAATTTGAATACTGTGCTCTCCGAAAAAAAGGATCCCGAGATTAGTGTTATGAGCGTGCAGCATGTGGGTGTATAAATATGGGCATATTTGTGCATAAATACACAGAAGGAGAGAAAAAGACAGAGGAGGAGGAGGTATTTTGGGAAGGGCCTTGCTTTGTTATCAGATAATTCCTGGGTCAGCCGCTGAAATTACTGCCAAAGGCTCCTTGCTTCTCTGGAGTTTGCAATGCATTTCGAGACGGGCCCAAGCAAAGAGACGGATCCAGATTTTGCTGTGGAGATAGGGGCCAAAACGTGGTGCCCCAGCGGGCAGTTGGTGCTCAGCTCGCACCCGTCCCCAAGCCCAGCAGCCTTGCAACATCCCTGCTCTGGGTCCCAGTTCCTGGCTTGGGCCTGTTGCTCGTATTTCCGTGACCGTGCAGGCAAAGCCAAGCAGAAATCCAAGGGATTTGTTTGTGGTGCAACTGCTGTGGCACATGGGGTGGGTTGGTTTTTTTATTTGTTGTAGTGGCTGAATTTCAGTTCACTCCAACCGTCCTGGTTCGTTGGTCCCAGGGTGGTGGGGAGAAGGGTCCTGCTGCCCCATTGCACCTCGGCGTGCAACCTCCGGTGAGGGGCAGGACGGCTGCAGGGACGGTGTCAGGGTTTGGAGCTGGTGCGGCCACCTCGGGGTCTGTGTTCACAGGCGTCCCAGCAATAAGTCTTCAGTTCCCAACCCTGAGCCATTGCGTTTTGCACCCAAAACAGGCTGTGGATCCTTCCTCCAGCATTTGACCTCCTCCATGTCCAATGTACCCCTCAGTCCCTCCCGCTGGGGCCGGCAGCTGCTCACTTCCCCGAGGTGGGATGAGGGCACCGGCATACAAGCCACTTTCTGGTCTCTGGCCAAAACACCGCCCTTCCTCACCCCATCGCATGAACGGCCACCCCATGGCCTTCGTCTCCCAGGAAATGACGTTGTGTTGGCTGCCAAAAGTTTGGCCCCCCTCTCGCTAGTGGGTGCTCGGGTGAGAGAGACCACCCTGCGGCTGGTGTGAATCGGCTCTGAGAGCACGGCACTGATTTACGCCAGCTGACATGATCCCCCAGCCCGACCGTCTGCGGCCACAGACAGATTCCTTAGCCGCGTTTCTCTTCGGGGCAACGGTTTGGCTTGTCGTGCGACAACGGTCTCGTGCCAAGGTCCGCGCGTGCGTGTACAGCCGCGCGGGAACTGCGTACTCTTTCCAGACTCGTATGGCTGTTCTGGGTTTAGGGTTGAGTTGCTTTTTTTCTTTTTTTTTTGGTTCAGTGGGGTTTTTAAATTTGTCTGTCGCATACGAGAGTGTAATTATTCATTTGCACTTGCTCCCTCATTGCTTGAGCCTGCGCTATCGTCCTCCAATGTCATGCACTAATCATTGCTGGGAGCGCAAGGGAAAAAAGGGGCCTTGGCTCAAATCCGTATGTGTTGCCTAATTTGAGCACATCAATAGGAAGAGGAAATCCAAGAAGGACTCATAATAACGATGCTGGAACTGAACCTTTTGTTTCCATGGTTACAGGAGAAATGGGACCAGTAATGGAGAGAGGCCTATACACTGTTAAAGGAGGACTCGTGGGAATTTCAAGTCATTTAACCATGCATTTGCTAGACACAAATTTAGACACCAGCTGTATCCGAATTGCACAGTGTGTATAGACGTTACTGCTCTTATTGGCGACTCGTGGGTGTCCTCGGGGTCGTGGGGCTCGTGCGGGCTGAGAGACACCCAAGTCAATAAGGCTGAACATTGTATATAGGTATACAGATCTGTGTACATACATGTTCCAAATGAGCATTTGCTGTCTGGTTTATCATGAGTGTATATAATTTATTCTTCATAGAGTATCACAATTTTTGTAAATATCAGCACTAATTAAGAGAAAATAAATATGTATATTATTGAGGAGTTATTCTGATATCAGTTCTGTGGCGGGTGGGGAAGAGAAAGACAAGCGGATACGTTTTTGGCAGGCTGCTTGTTTTTTTTCTCTGCATCTAAACTTTCTGCAAGAAAAGAACAGAAGAGCCTGAACCGAGGAAAAACTTGCCTGTGCTCCCATCGTCAGCTGCCCTGCGGAGGCTGCTGGAGGGGGAAACCTCCCCAGCTCGGATATCAGCCACATCCGCCCAGCTCGGCAGGTAACACCACGTAGCTCTGCAGGTAACCGGGAATCGGCGAGGCCGGGCAGACGGACCTGCCCTCGGGAAGCCTCGCAGGAACCTGCC